ATTCAATCAATTACACTGGCTCCATATGCATTTCCGCACGCAAAAAATTATTAATTATTTCATTTATTTTTAATTATTCAAATTTGAATACGAATATTTTGGAGATTCGTTAAAAAAATATGAAAATATAAATAAAAAATGTCCATCAAATGTACAAAGAGAATGTAAATAACCTGTAAATAACTATTAATAAAAAAAATAGACACTCAAATGATAAATAATATTGGCAATGTTTATATACAGCGCGTCGATTTTTCACGGGCTGATGATTCCCCTTTGCGAATGCAACCAACATGCATAGTCACTGGTACAAGCAAAGTATGATGTGCCTGTCAGATCATTACCATCGCCTGCATACCACAGTGCATTCGTGTCTTATGCGTGGTTTAATTTGAATACACGAAGGATAGACAGGAAGTGAGCGCTCGTGTGATGCACATTAGCGACGCCCATTTCTGTGTAAACTGCATTATCTTGTCCCGCGATAAAGCGTCCAGTTCCGATGAATACGTCTTGTTTCGAGACCGTCATTCAATCAAAATTTTATTTATCCAGAAGTGGGCATCCTAGAGAGAGAGAGAGAGAGAGAGAGAGAGAGAGAGAAAGAGAGAAAGAGAGAGAGAAAGAGAGAAAGAGAGAGAGACTCGACGACTCCCTCTCATGTCTCATCCAAATTGTTCATTAATGCATTAATTCATGTTATTATTTATGTTTCTCTCTCCCGAATTCTCAGCTCTCACCTAGACCAGTAATAAGTAACATCCGTTCGCACAAGTAATGTTGCTATGAAATAAAAAAAAGAAAATGGCAATTTTCACTGGAGTTATGCCAGCGCAGTTGCTGGAAATTTGCATATATCGAGCATGTGGCGTGCGCGCACGTTGCGAGATATTTGTTGTGAAAGGGAATTGACGGCAGGATGCGCGGTAAAACCGCAATGACCAGGCGAAAAAATAAAAAAATAACACCTAGGTGATGTATTAGTGTGAGATTGTGAACGCGTTAGACCAGGACACGAGCCGAAACTCATATTTCGCATTGATGATTCATATTCGCAATTATTTCAACAACAGATATACTCATTGCCAAATAATTCAGAAATTACGAATAGAGAATAGAGAATTGAGAATAGGCTACCGGTATGTTCTGTGACCTCGAGTCTTTCTTCGTTGTGTCATTAAGCTTTGGCCAATTATTTTACCAAAAAAAAAAATGAACTCTGTCAGCGCGAATAAAAGAGCTATTTCAATGGCGAATTTCGCAATACACTGGTGCTTCAGGTGAACATCCCAACAGTCATCTGTCCTTTACATTCCTCACTGATGATTCTAGGATTCATTGATTTTACTTGAAATAATGAGATCCCAGGGAAAATGTTAAATACTCGAGGTAAATGTGTAATTCCGCTTCACGCGTAACAACACGCATTTCTAACGTGTGTCAAATACTTTGGTGGTCTGGTTCCAACTTCAGTACAGATCATACCCAAGTAACCATGGAAAATAGATAGCACACGCATAGCTTGTCCATAATGGGAAGTCAATTCGAATTAGCGTTTAATGGCTGAGAGGAAAATTTGTTTTTCCCTCTGTCGTTGCTTGCATAATTTTTCAAAAAGTTCAGCTCAACGAAGTTTTGCAATTCTCTGATTCCAGTATGTTAAGCAAAAAAGAATTGTGCATATGCACATGATTCCCTCGTTTTTCCTCACCAACTTTGCATTTCCCAGTAATTGCTGAAGTGGGAAAGACCATATTCTTAATTCTTTTATAATTTATTTTTTTATTCATCCGCAGTACTGGCCTTTATTACCATATTCTCCTGGTGAGTACATAAATGAGTATAGAGGATTAGCATGCCACGACCAAATACGGTTAGCCAGCTCACCTGCGCGATAGAACCAACAATGCAATGAATATGGTAATTCTCATCATTTATCCGGTTCGCATGGCGAACTCAGTAGCACCATAACGTTTTTCCCTGGTTCTCGGGTCCTTGAAATGAAATTCAACAATCGAGAGTGGATTATTCATCATTCTATTTGAATATCTGGAGGGGTTATTTCCACATGTCAGGTGAACTTGTCCATATAGCGTCAATACCAGGTGGTTTATTTGTTCAATTATTTCTTCAACAAGTGTATTAATAAAAAATATTTTAATTGTAGGAAAAATTCAAGTGAGACACGTCAAGTGTGTGTTTGGTGGGTCGCGTGGCTATTCACCGATTTCTGGAGGCATTGGTGGCACCACCCCAACACCGTCCTGAATGTTTAAAGAAAAGAAGAGGAAAGTTGGTCGCGTGTCGCGGTGATTTGTCGGGGCATTGTGTGTGTGGCATCTTCTCTTCCTCTTTCTCGTTTCGAAAAGAGGCTGAAGGGTTAGCCTACCTGGACATGGGCATGGGGGATATGCCGAGAGACCGATTCAAGTGTGAGGGAGAGAGGGAGAGAATAAAGAGCCCGCCACGTGACCCTTGTTCAGAGGCCTGCCGTACCTTATTGGAATCCTTACCCCAACCTGACCTAGCCAAGGTGAGATTTATCCGGCGGCTTTACCTGCCTCCCCAGACTCTTGTGTTTGTGTCTTTTAGCGCAGACACCTATATCACCTACTTTAATACGGACAACGGACTATCACCTTCTAGCATCACTCCAACAGGTTTTCGCTTCTCCTTTTTTATTTTGCCAAATTTTCAAGGTGAAAATTAGGCTGATCATCTGTTTTATTGAGGGCAACATTCCATGACGCAATTTTAATATTAGAAAATTCAATTTTATATTTATTCAATCAGTTTTCAGATCGTGTAGGTCCCATTGGGCCTTATCTATCGTCGTCAAAAATTTATTTCGTCCATCCATTCATCCAAGGTTTATTTAGAAAAATTTATTAATAAATAATAAAATTTAATTTATTAATAAATCCATGTATATGATATGCGACATGAGAGCGATTTCCCCAGTTTTTCTTCAAGGCTTTATTCATCTTAATGATGAGCAAATAAAAATTCCCGGAAATTTTAATATCGCCCGGCGCTCCATTACCTCCAGGAACCTCTACCTTCACCCAAAGAATAGCTTCCGGAATCCGAAAATTGGTTTAGTCGTTGCCTCCAAGGGGAATACGTAAGTAGGTCGGCGCAACCTGATTACAGGTTCCCTTAATCACCCGGTGCGCCGGGCGCGTGATGATCTATGATCCACGTATAGATCCTCAGAATATTCTACCCCATTCCTCCAAGCACGTTAGACGTTGATTTAAAATCCTCCTCGAAGAGCCCATTACCTCAAAATATCCAAATAGTCAAATGTTAATTCGCCCCACCTCCTCGAGCCCCTCATCATCGGCATCACTTCCTGCCGGATCTCTGTTATCTCACGCCTCGCCTTGGTGTTTCGAGTGACGTGTTGTACCACCGAGCAATAATCAAACAAGAAACAAAACGAGAGCTCCAGCATGACTCAGCTAATGTCCCTCAAAAGATTTACCCGAATGAACTAGTTCTTTTTTTTTTTTCACTTTCATCTGGAAAACTGGAATACTCACGAGATTGAAATGATCCGACGGCCTGAGAAACTCATCTCAACCTAATAATCAAGGCCAATGTAAAAATACCGTGACTAGTCAAAGATTCTCATGATTATTTCCATTATCATCACCCACACATCTCCAACTTGTCATTATCCGGATAATAAAACAAATCAAAGAAATCTATTCGCCAATAATTTTCATGATTGTATGCACAGGTATCATCATCAGCATCATCGGTTGTCGCAACAACACTCTAGCTGCATACGTAATTTGTAAAATCGTGTCGAAAAAGGCCAGTGAAAAGGGAAAAAAATACCTGTTAAATAACAAGATATACATATTCAAAACACGATTCAACCAGGCGCCGTTGGACAATAACCGGAAGTTGTCGATGTGATCAGGTTGACCGCTCGCAAAATCATTTGTTAGGGAATAAATACTCGGCTACAGGTGTGACAAATTCAATGATTCTTCAAACTAATTCTAATCGAATTTATCTCAGCAAATGCTTAATCGACACTTTTATCGAGCAAGATAACCTATCAGCACTTGCAACACACATTTTTCATATTAGTTTGATTTCAATTTAATTTCTAACGCCGAATGATGTATAAGTGCGACAAACGCCTGATATCAGTCACGCATCACATCAATATTACCGATGACAATTGCTCCAACATGCGACGCAGAAGCGAAACAATTTGAAGATTAAAGTTTATATCAGAGTTCTAAGAAATCATGCTGATGCCCGAGTGACTCTTATTATTTATTAATTTATCGTAAGACCACTTGACTGCTCGCCTCATCATATTTACCTGTCCATGAGATTTTTTTCAGCATTATTTATTCTAGTAATCTCTCTCCCTTTTTTTTTTGCGGCAACTGATAGCGCGTGTCTCACGCGAAGCGTGAAGTCCTTTATCGGTGTATTAACGGACCGATTGAAAAGTGAGAATACTCGAGCGGTATATCAAGGAGGTGATTAATAACTACCAGTCATAAGAGTCACACTTAATTAATAATCTCAAAGTGGCAGGCTTGGATAATTTTGTAATGACACCTCTGCCGGTATCTGATTAACGATTGAATATTCCACGTGAATTGGAAACAAAAAATAAAATATCCACAGATGAAAAATATTCCTCAGAATATTGGGTCACATATTTACTCATGAATCAGAATTGATAGATCAATGCTGACAGGTAAATACGATAGATTAGATAGTTCAATACTTGTGATACATCAGAGATTGAATCACCTCTATACCACGTAATAATATGTAACCAAAAATCCAAGAAATTATTCAGAATGTGACGAAACACCTGACGAGCACAAACATCTTATCAACCTCTGCTGTCCCTCCCAAAATGATGAAAATTGAGATATGGAGGAGTCCACAGCTCCATCCACAAGCCCTATCATACCCAGAGCTCAACTCTTATCAAATATTCTCAAATTTATGATACTCACCAGTTTCAGCGCCTCGCAAAGGCCCCGAGGGACTTCCACCGGTGGATACCCCTTCATCCTCGCTGCCACTGGTACTGGCCTCACTGGGACTGTAGCTCCTTCTCTCGTTCATTCTTTCTGATTTTTGTCCACTAGCACCAGTACCATTATTATTATTATTATTACTATTGTTATTATTGTTATTATTGTGCATACGACTCTGCAGTCTTTCGTGCATTGTCCTGACACGCGCATGCAGCCTCTGCTGTTGTAACGAACCAACGGAGAAATCGAGGGGCTGATCAACGTCTGATTGAGCAGGTTGCTGAACCTGGAGTCTCTGTACCTGACTCAGCGTTGCTGATATTATGCTCGGTGCTTGTGTTACCTGTACCATCTCCTGATCCTGATGAACACTTGACGGTGGACTCCACCACTGGTGTCCACCCTGAATTGATCTCCAAGCATCAATGGTATTGTTGTTCGTTGGACTACCGGTTTGCTTTTGCTTCTGGCTTTGACTCTGAATCTGATTGGATTGTGGACTCTGTTGGGAATTCTGTTGCTGTTGCTGCTGTGCCATAGCAACTTCCAGATTGTTGTTCTCTAACAGGTGCATGCTCGGTGTTTGCGTCATGGACGTGGGCAATGCGAATGCTGCACCCACTGAGGATTGATTAGCGTCGTGCGATGAACGACGACTGTTTTGGGGCTGCTGTTGTTGTTGCTGCTGTTGTTGTTGCTGCTGTTGTTGCTGCTGCTGCTGCTGTTGCTGTTGCTGCTGCTGCTGCTGCTGCTGCTGCTGCTGGTGATGTTGGGGTTGATGATGAAATAGATGAAGCTGGGAGCTCGATGGTACAATAACCGGAGGTGTTATCTGGCGTACGGATCGGGCTGCCTCGGCAACCCACCGGCGCACAGCTTCACTGTCAAGACCCGCCAGACCTGCTGACTTTATTTTTGACTGTCCAAGTGGTGATAAACCCTTCTCGGTTAGCAAGCCGGGAAGCGCTAGGACCCCGGTCCCCGCCACCGCGATTCTGGGCCCTGTAACGCCCCCGTAAGCACTCACTGCCGCGAAATCCAACGTGTCTACTGGATTACCTCGGTCTCGAGGCACCTCAAAGATTTCTACAGCTCCCTGGGAGGTCTTCAATTATCGTTGATGTTGAATTATGGCTATTCGACTCCACGCGGTGACAGTATCATCTAGTTTTCAAGCGATACAATAATTCGGATTGAACAGTGATTTTGCTGTTTGAAGAAATCCTAAAGTGTTTTAAATCCTCCCTGACAGTGTCACTCAACGCCACAATCAGTCACTCGCGTGTCTTCGCGCACTACTGACATCCTCAACCGTCAGAACCCGGGACCACACAAAACACCAAATGAATACAAATGTCAGGGATGGTCGTTTTTATTCTACTGTCACTTTCTTGTTGATTCACTCTATACAACCGATACTCTGTTTATTTTATATCATTACCACCAGTAGCCAAACACTTGTACGAAGACAGTGATGATTCGTTGGTAACAGGTGATCGGACGAAGCACCACCTGTCATTCGGTTGAATCCTCTCGTCAGAACCCTTCCACAAGAAAAATATCACGAGCTCAAGTTTTCCTGGCTAGCTGCCAATAACCGACACTTCACAGTTCGTTGACATGTTTCATCGATAAATTGAATCCTTTCTGTCAATGATCGACGCGCACTCGTTGTAAAAATTAATTTTCAAGTGTATACTTTGGTTGATATTAATGAAATGTGGAAATGTGGTGATGGTGTCTCGGAGGTAGGATGGATACGGTGGCAGGTTGTCGTGGTGTGTTGGAGTCAGCGCGGAAAAGAGGAGGCGACGGTGGCAACAAGAGCGGATAGATGCTGTCGCGTGCATGTGTGCAGCTACACTAGGGTCCAGGCGGCCGCGGGCACACGGACGCTCGGGCCGTCCAGCAGTTTTCGCCCGAAGGTGGGGGAGTCGTTAGGTCGTCCGTTGGGAAGGAAGGAAAGGAAAAAAAAAAGCCCGAGAAGAAGAGCGGTGAGGAAAAAAAAAAGGAGGCATTCAAAGAGGAGAAGGAGGAAAGAGAAAGAAGAAGTAGGTAGTCCCCCGTTGTTGGAAGAGGCTCGTAGAGGCTCCGAGAGTCGTCCGGGTGAGTTGCTCCGGCAAGTGGGGCGGCGGAAGGGGGGTTAGGGGGATGCGTCGGTGGGGAATTCAACGGCCAATCCGTATTATTCGCGGATATCGCTGGGCTCCGCCTACCGATGAGTGCTCCTGGTTTGCGAGTCGCGCCCGCGCTTTTTCCCTTTTTTTTTTCTCTCTTTCTTTTTCCACATTTTTTGTTTTTTTTTTTCCTCTCCGTCCTCTCGCTCGTGGACACAAACGGCCACGAGAGAGATTGCCTTTTTGCTTATGTATGGAGGCCACGCGAGTCTCAGTCATGATAATTTGCATATCAGAGATTATGGCGGACCAATCGGAATTGGCCAGTGCCACCTCTCGCTTCTCGCCAAGCTGTTGTCGCTGGGTAGCTTGCCAACTCACACTGGATAAAACCTATAAGGAATGTCTGATTAATTGAAGAGTCAGGTGGAGCCCCTGGAGGAAAATGGTCTTTCAAGTAGGTGGAGCATCGGTGGTTGGGGGATATATCCATGAATCGATCGAGCGGATTGAAGGACAATTCAACTGCTGGACATGGATGGGCTCATGCCTGGATATGTGGGTCACATATTGATTTGTGTAATTGATGCTACATCGTACGAGCCATGAGACAACAGCTCAATGGGATGGGAGTGGACTATCTTATCTCATGGCCATTGACCCTTAATATTATTTAGTCAATGAAAATATTGACTTTGTGTCTGGTGACTGCTGATAAAACATTCCACTCAATTTGATTAACAGATACATCCGAGCATCAGTCTCTTTCTTGTCACCTCTATCAATATCAAACAAAAACAAATAAAGATTGAAAATAACAGTATGAAAAAGGGATAATTGAATTCATGGGAATAGAAAAGTCTTTCCTTGACACCAGCAAACCCATATCTCTTGGAGAACTATGGGAATATGAAATCCGTCATGCGCACTCTTCTCATAAATAAAAAGTTGTTTAAAGCGATTCCATTGGCTCGCGTCAGAATTCCGTGTGAGCCCACCCCCTTGAATTTTATCGCCACTATCATATTTCCATACAGACACAGGAATATCTCGCCTCCCTCTTTCCCTCTTAACTCTACGGTATCACCTTCACAGAGGGTTGAAAACAGCCCTCCCGTTCTCCACCCGATATTTGAATCCAGCATGCGCAGTGAAAACTCGCGGGAAAGAGGCGAGGGTGAAAAAAAGTAAATCCAACAAATACGTCCCTTTAAAGTGGCTCTTATTGGTCATTGGAAGTGCTGCGCATATCCCTACTACTCCACCCCTCGTCACACGTTATACGGCATGCACCTAAAACCCAGAAGACACTTCTTATCGCGCACTAACCCCCTCTCCATCACCCCACGGGGTGGTTTTCCCCACTCCTCAGGGCAACGACTCCCACGCTAACCCCCTTGGTTGCCCCTTCCACCCCCTATCATCCCTCTTGCATCCCCCATCCTCCCCCATCCTCCCCCTTCCATCCCAATCCTCCCCCTTCCATCCCCCATCATCTCTCCCTCCTAGCTTTCTTCACTTGGTGGGGGCGACGTGATGCCAAAACGTAAGGGACGGAAAATACTAAACTTTTAGCTGTGAAAACGAGACCATGAGAGACCTACGACGCGTATTGATTTTAATGACGCACCCCCTCTAACCCCCCTCCCACCCACAAGTCGTTGTGTGCGTGCGGATGTATACAAAAATCGGATAGAACAGAAGAGCAACACTGACCAGCGGGAAAATGAGAAAATTAGTTGAGGAATTGTATAAGGCGAATTTATGGATAGATCGCACGAGTCTTGTCTTCATTCGCACTTTTAATCTATAATTTTTGTTGGGGTGTGCAGATATGCAAGAATTTTCATTTATATTGACTTTACACCGTGTGACAGGTTGTTGTGGGGTGGAGGCTCGTGTCGGTATCCCCAAGGGGTTAACTCTCACAAAAAAAAGGGAGAGACACTTGACGTATGCGCAGATCGAGGGACTGACGAGGTTTCTATTCAAATAGAGGAGGGGATCTAATCTGAATAACCCTTTCGTGGCACGTGAGGTGAGGTAAGGTGTTGTTGAAACCCTTTTTTAACCATCGGGGTTGAGAATGAATGAGTATTATTTGCATCGGTCGCATGAATTAAATGTTCAACCCTTTTTTTTTATGTCAGTAGGGCAATGCTGGAGGAGAGTAATTGAACGACACCTGTGGGGAGGGGAAGGGCAGACTTTTCAAGGGTATGTGCACCTGACGGAACAAGTGTTTTCTTCTTTTATTATGACTTGCTCGTTTTTACTTGTCGTAGAGATCGAACTAGCCATCAGTTTGCAAAAGAGAATTTATCTCAATTTTTTGGGTTTCCAATTTTTAATGAATCTTTTAAACAAATAAGATATCGTCAGTCATTTTCTTTTATCATTGAAATTCTAAACAAATTTTCAAGTTGTACTTCGAGCGAAATGGAAAAAAATCGTGTATTATTCTATCCGGTCGCGTCAACAATTGAATTGTTTTGTTTATTGGAATTTATGAATTGTTCTCACGCATTTCTGGAATTATTGGAAAAATTAGGGGAGCGAAAGGTTTTATTGTTCGTCTGGCTTGGAGAAACTGGTGAGACGAAGTTTTCATTTCCCACAACCGGAAAAAAAAATCGGTATTATGGTAAGTATCGATTACTCGTTGCAGTGCAAAATCCCTCAATTTTACCTGTGAATTGGCATAGTCTCACCGTTGATGACCCAAATTCCGCAAATGTACCGTACTTTGTGAAGGTGCCACACCGGTCCAGAAGAAACAATTTTTTTTTCTCTCTCCACTCTCCTCTCTTCTCCCATCCTTTTTTCCTCTGTTATTTTTACTCTCTGCTTTTATTTCGGCCCATCAAAGGTCTTGAACTACAATGGCTGAAATGCGAATACTACAACATCCAAGAGGAGAGAGAGACAGGGAATGCCATGAAGGAGGTCCTTGAGTGGACCCAGGACATACCGTTAAGGCAATTCTCTAGGAACTTGAGTGTATTTTTTTTTTCTTCTCGTAGTAAATCTCAGGATATTTGAGATTCATTCAAAAAGGGTGCGGTGCTCCCTCTCGTGCCATTATGCACGAAATTACGGGTTTCCCTGCTTCTCCAATATTTCGATAGAAAAAAAATGTATAATCGAGATTTTTTTTTTTACAAACTCTTGGAGAAACAGCTGCAGTATTTTTTTTTTCGGTTGAAACTGGGTCAAAACACTCAACACTCCACGCCTGTAATGAAATAATTCTTCGATAAAAATTAGTTTAGTAAATATTGGTTGGATATATTCATTTATTTTCTCAGTGGAATGCATAATTTTGCGTTTTTTTTTTATTTTTTTCAATATTTACAAATCATGAAGATTTCAAGTGTTAAGACGAGAATTACCACCTAACGCGTTTTTCGGTTCTTCAGTTTATGGGCGGTAAGTATCCACAGTACCGTAATTAAAGGGAAAATCCGGTATCTACGTACCCTCATTTCAA